TATAAATAATTATACATATACACACACACACACACTGATCAGCAATAACATTTTGACCACCCGCCTATTATTGAGTAGTATAGTACTTTTGCCATCAAAACAGACCCCTCGAGGCATGGACTCCACTAGACCTCTGAAGGTATGCTGTGGTATCTTTCGCCAAGCCTGTCAGTAGCAGATTCTTAAAATCCTGTAATTTGCAAGGTGAGGCCTCCATGGATCCAGCTTGTTTATCCAGCACATCATTGCCCAAAGTAACATTGCCATTGCTTACCTGGGAAAGAGTACCAATTATTTCCAGAGCATGAGGGGTTTAGTAATAAGATTGCACTGCAGCATTCACCTTCTTTCAAGCAAGATGGCTCCCACTGACTCAGTACTTGTGTGTGTAAACCAGCTTGAGCTACTGTAATGTGATGATCAGGGTCTGTTTCCACATATGCGACTTTGGGGAAAATTTATATTGTGAGCTCAGGTTAAAGTGTACCTACTATTAATTTACACTAAACATACTGGCTGTTCAATTCATGTGTGTTAAGAGCAAGTGAAATGCAGTCATTGCATATCACACTGATGCTGGAAACAGAGACTAAAATCGACTTCAGAAGAACATTCTGCAAATACAATACAAGTACACTTTAGGAACTGCATCACAATTGCTAGCATGCATGAACCCCTAAGGCCATTTAAGTATCATTTCCCCCAAAAAGTGAAGAAATACTACACTTAACAAAAAAAAAAAACACAGTTCCCTTTTATTTGACTTGAAGGCTCAAGAGGAAAGGGAAACCGTGACATTTTTAAAAAAGCTTTTCTGTTTTGTTTAAAGAGCATAAAAAGGGCACCGAAGCCATCATTAACTTACATTGTAGCCTTTGTACAATTCTGTTATTCATGATCTGGTAGTGCCATCTTCTGCATCATCTGTACTTCATGACAAAACAAGCATACTCTGTATAACAGCTGCTCTTTACTATGACAGATGGGACTCCTGGGGCTAAGCTACATTAGGAATAACCTTTTACTGTTCAAGCTCAGATAATAAAAAAAAAAAAAAAACCAGAGCCCTAATAAGTTAAAATAATGCCTTGTTGTTGGTACCTGAATTCATTTTTCCTCCTTAAAAACCAGTTTCTGCTGGCAGCACTTACATGTCCAAGTACATACAGGGGGGCTCTGCCTCACCGCTCCTAGGTCTAAATTACAGCAATAAGCAATTTCCTCTCATTTCAAGTGCGTCTAATACATGAAGGTCTGCTGTACTGGAACCTTACATATTACAGGGGAAAGATGAAAGCAGGTTATTTAGTGGTTTTTTTTTTTGTTTTTCTCCCCATGGAAACGTTTGTAAGGTTATACATTGGTTATCAGATTTGGGCTCACATGGCATCCTGAAATACAGGAAGTTGGGAAGATTTTCTAACACTACTGACTGCAAGATAAAAAGGCATTAAAGTTTACATCGGACAGAATTATTTTCAGCAAATTGTTGACTCTCCGACAGTGGTGTCACTTAAACTGTCATAGAGAAGTAGCAACATGTATACATATACATGTACACTGGAATTTGCATATACACCTAAAATAAAATCACTAGTAATGGTGTTGACTAAATGTAAATTCTAAAGGTTTTCCCAACACATCACTGCACAATTTTTTTAAATTTAATCTCGGACAGAACCACACTAAGAACA